ACTGCCCTAGGACATCACTACCCGCCACAATGCTTTTAGTTAGGAATTTTATTTTGTTTCTTTAAAAAATGTTTTCATTGATGTTAGAGAGAGAGAAGGGAGAAACATCCATTGGCTCCCTCCTGCGCACCCCCTACTGGGGTTCAAGCCCTCGACCCTAAGGGTTACCGCTATCCCTAAGTTCTAATAGAATAGATGACTTTTACACATTTTGTTCTTTATATAAATGAAAACACAGTATGTACTCTTTTGTGTCTGACTTATTTGCTCAACGTTATGTTCTGAGGCTCATCCACGTGGAGTGCAGGTGCAGGCTGTTCATTCTGATTATTATACAGTATCTCCATTGTGTAAATATTCCTGATGGGCATTGGGGTAATTTCCAGTTTGGGGCCATTATGAAGAGAGCTGGAATGAACATTTCTTTCGGTATATACCTAGGCATGGAATTAATGGGTCAAAGTCTGTATATTCAACCTTAGTAGGTACTGCTAAACACTTTTACAAAGTGCTTGTACCGATTTATGTTCCCTCCAGCAATCTAAAACTTTTAGCTGTACTTCATCTCCTTCAACATTTGGTATTTTCTGTTGTTTTTCACTTCAGCCATTCTGACAGGTGTGGTTCCCAGTGTAGTTTTGATTTGCATTTCTCTGATGACTAAAGAAGCACATTTTTGGATGTTTACTGGCTATTTGGATATTCTCTTTTATGAAGTAACCATTCAGATTTTTTACCCATTTTTCTATTGGGTTGAAGTCTTTTTAAAAATTGATTTGCAGGTATTTGTTTCATATTCTAAACATGAATCCTTTGTTGAATACACATGCTGCAGTCTACCTACTCTGTGGGTTGCTTTTCATTCTTAATAGTTCTTCTGATAAACAGAAATGATTAGCTTTGATATAGTCCAACTTTTTTTCTTTCTGGTTAGCATTTTGTGTCCCATTTAAGAAATCATTATCCCTACTCCAAGGTCAAAAAGTTGTTTTCTTGAAAATGTTATTGTTTAATCTTTTACATTTAGATCTGTAATCCATTTAGAACTGACTTTCTATATGATGTGCAGAAGAGGTGAAGATACATTTTTCCTCATATGGATACCAAACGACCTAGCTCCATTTATTGAAAAGACAGCATGTCCCTTCTGTACTGCATAGTGATACATCAGGTGACCACTTTCCTTCCCAGCCTTCCCTTTTAATAAAAATCACTGAATTGCTTAATTATAAAAACAAGAATATTAATTGTAGAAGATATTAAAAATACAATAAAAATAAAGAAAATGTTAAAACTCTAAGGCCTAATTAACATTGAGTATATACATCATGACCTTTTTTTTTGGATGGCTAAATAGCTATGAATATTTTTAAAACCAAAATGAAAGCATACTTGTCAATTCTGATTTTTAAACTATTTTTACTTTACCTTTGATGTCAATATGCATCTAAAATATTTCTAATAGCTAAACAGTATTCCTTTTTAAATTGTACTCCCTAAGATATAATGATTTTGACATTATTTGGCTTTCTCATAGCCTTTCTCATTCTTTTTTTTCAAAATATATCTTTACTGACTTCAGAGAGAGGAAGGGAGAGGGAGAGATAGAAATATCAATGATGAGTCATCATTAATTGGCTGCCCCCTGCATGCCCCCCACTGGGGACTGAGCCTACAACCTGGGCATGTGCCCTGACTGGGAATCGAATCACGATCTCCTGGATCCTAGGTTGATACTCAACCGCTGAGCCACACCTGGCCAGGCGCAGTGGGTTCTTTTTATATCAAAACAGTAAAACACCAAAAAGGAAGTTGAAAGAGCCCTGCTCTTTAGTACCCAAGCCACATGTGAGCCTTCCTGACACCCTGTAACCATGCACCTTGCACCAAGTGGAAAATAAACGACAAGCAGCCAGCAAAAAAAAAAAAAAAGACTGTCACTACGTGCTTGCTTCAGCAGCATATACTAAAATTAGAACAATAAAGAGGTTAGCAAGTCCTGCACAAGGATGACACACAAATTCATGAGGTGTTCCATACTTAAAAAAAAAAAAGTCATTACCCTTCTACTCCCTACTCAGAAACACAGCAGTAGCTGATTTTCCTCCCTTCTAACTGCCTGCTTCCTTGCAGATGTTCAAACTACTGCTCTACATGAGCACCTGATCAAGGTCTGGCTACTATATAACCTTCCTGGGGTTGTGAGCAACACTGTCATCTTGCACCCACAGCACAGGTGCTGAGAGAGTGGCTAAGCAACCCGACAGGAAGGGGAAGTAACCCCACCCTGGCATGGAACCCTTCACAAGCTTGCCTTGTCCCCAGTGTATAAAAGCAAGCCAAGCAGAGTCAGCTCCTAAGCCAGTTCAGAGGGCCTTCCTTTTCATTGTGCTGCCTCCCTTGTGCTCTAGCATAAGCTTAGCAAAATCTGTCTGGAAATTTCTCTGGGGTTTCCTCTCGATTCCTATCTTGAGGAACTCAAGAACCCCTATGTAAGAACACTCTCAATTATGTAAAACAAATACAAACAAAATCACACACTCAGATAAAAGATGGGAAAAACACATGTACTAAGATATATATACATATTTTTAAATATAACTTTATTGATCTCAGAGAGAGGAAGGGGGGGGAGAGAGAAACATCAATGATGAGAGTCACTGATCAGCTGCCTCCTGCATGCCCCCGACTGGGGATCAAGCCTGCAACCCGGACATGTGCCCTGACTGGGAAGTGAACCCTGACTGGGAATTGAACCTTGACCTCCTGGATCATAGGTCGATGCTCAACCGCTGAGCCACACCGGTTGGGCCCTTTTTCTTATTTCCTAAATTTTATGTAATGAATATATTACTTTAAAAATCAAGGAAAAAAAAGTTTATTTCAGGGTGTGTAACTGAGAGAAATTCCTTACTAATCACTGAGGAAGCACACTTGTGAATGCTCAGTGTTTAGACACAATTTAATGCATCAGCTTATGGGGGAAAATTTGAGAAATTACTCTTGTTCAATAACATCTTATTAGTCTATTATAAAGACCAACTTTAGGATCAAATTTTATTAGAACTATAACTGAATTATTACATGTAACAGTACATAGATCATCACAACAGAAATGTGGGGATCTGTATCCATAACATTGGTTTCTAATGAGTTTATTCCCTACTAATCCTCTATGATATCACTGTTTAAAAACTTGTAGCTTGATGAGATCAAGAGGAAATCACAGAATCCCTATTATTATTCTGGTCCCATGAATGAATTTGAAAACCACACTCAGTTCCAAAGATATGTTCACAGCCCTTTCTAGTTCTTAGCAATACAGAGATCAGTAGTTTGAAGAAAAAGGTTAAGCATTAATATATTGTGGGTATTTATTCAATAAATGTTCATCTGTTATAGTTAAAAGGTAGAATTTGTATGGAGATAGTTAATTAAGCCTGAGAAGCTTCTCAGAGGAAGTGCCACTGAGCTGGTTTTTGAAGGATCAATAAGGGAGGAGAAGGAGAAGGAATTCCAGACAGAAAAAACGGTGTATGCAAACGTAGGGAGATATTAAAGAGTGTTAGAAAAGATTTTGACATTGTCTGGCTTTCTCATACTCATATGAGATGGTATATGTATTTTTTAGCTTCAAGTCTGGGCAATGGGTTGAGAAAATTCCTTAAGGTTTTTTGTTCTAGAATTCTATGACGTGATGAAAATTCTGTCATGCAATAAGGTGTTTGACATATTCCAAATGCAACTAGCTAAGCAAGATCAGAAGAATTTCAAAAATCTGCAACTAAGTCCAGTCTAAAACAAAACATACTATACAGGCATGAAGATATGTGATACTGTTACTGATTTGTGCAATAGTCTGTAAGTGAAGATATCAAAAGATGCCTTTGGGTATGACAGTTTTCATTAGGTTATACTAAAATCCTATTTTACTTCATCGCTAATAAGATAGTTTATGAACAGAAGGAATACTGTTTAAAATAACGATGGGAAGAGATAGATGGGGAAGGGGGTAATTTCTAGAGATTATTTTGTTTAAGTATTTTTTGATTTGTAGAAGAAACACTTGATTGTAGATTTTATTTTTTTGGAAAGTACCTAAAATTACTTTTGTATATGTATTTTTGTAACAGTTTTATTGAGGTATAATTCATATACTAGAATAAAACTATTTCAACGAAAAAATCATGTGTAATCTTCTCAGATAACACATTAAATATTTTAGTATATATCTTTCTAATCTTTTTAAGACAGATTTTTCTTGGATATAAGCATCCAACTTGAAGCAGCAAAATGACAGTACTAATTAGAGCAAAATTCCATTGATTAAAAAGAATTGTGTCGCCTGGCCGGGCATGGCTCAGTGATTGAGCGTCGACCTAGGATCCAGGCGATCGGGGTTCAATTCTGGGTCAGGGCACATGCCCGGGTTGCGGGCTTTATCCCCAGTCAGGGGTGTGCAGGAGGCAACCAATCAATGATGACTCTCTCATCATTGATGTTTCTATCTCTCTCTCTCCCCCTCTCCCTTCCTCTCTCTGAAATCAATAAAGATATATTAAAAAAAAAATTGTGTCAAGATATACCCAAAACAATTACTACGCAGAGAAGATTCAAAGTTCTTGGGGAAAGTGGGAGGGGGTTAGGTTTGTTGAGGGGGTAGAGGAGGCAAAAGATATTTTAACTTTATCTTCAATGTTCTAATTTTTTAAAAAGAAGAGTAAATTCAGTGTATTAGTTAAGGAATTAAACATTAATTTTAAAAATACAAACATAAAAAAAGGGTTGTGACATGTGTAAAATAAATTTTGAAAGGGGCAGTTACGATAAATGAATTAACATGTCTAGTCTTGACAGGGAGAATAATTTCAGGAGTCTTGCCCTGCCAACATGGCCTTACCCTCACTCCTCCTGCAATCACTTCCTGACTCGTTAGTTCCAAAATCATTAATATTGCATCACATGTATTAAGAAATATTGGAATCATCACAGGCCTCAAATATTCAGGTAAACTTTTTTATTTTCCTCCAGAAATATGTTCCTGATTATCAACTTTCAGTGACTCTTAAAGAAACATGCTTGGAGTCAAACAACTTAACAAACATATATTGAAGACCTATATGATTTAAAAATGTTCGGCACCATCTAGAATTACAGTGACAGATACTCCATTAGGAGATTAAATAATTAAGCTGCATAATTGTGTTTACTTCTTTAAAGCATGTATAAATCACCAGGAATTTGGTGGCTAAGTAGTTTTTCCTCATTGTGATAACTTATTTAGAAAACAGTCTTTTCTTCTCAGGGAAAGAAAGGTATGGAAATCACATGAGAAATATTTTAAAATACTTTTAGCAAAGTAATCCACACCATATCAAAATCCTTTAGAACATAGTTAATCACAGTATAGAATAAAACCGAAAAGTATAATTCACTTTAGTTGAGGCTATAATATAAAGGTGAGCACAATTTAAAAGGTTATCACAGGAAATCATAGCATCGCCCAGCAAATTCTAGATTAGCAAATAATTTTCCAGTGACTCTTTAATTGTTTGGTATGACAACATAAAGCAGATTCCTATACACCTTTAAAAGACAGCTAGAAAATACATTTAAAAATATTAAATTTGAGATAATTTCTCCTCAGAGATCAACTAAAACATACAGTAAGGTGCACATTTTTTAGATACAGGATAGCTCTCTCTTGCTCTTACTTAAAAATATTTTTTCATGCATTCTAATGGTCATATGAAAAAGACATTTACTTTCTTTTCATTACTAATCCTGAGGAAGGAAGAACAAATGTGGAGGAGGCCTCACAGCTCACTAGGAATCAAACTGCACACCTTTTACAACTGTAAATGGCAAGTAATGGAAGAAGTCCAGGATACTACACTTATTCAGGCCTCCATACACATCAGTTTAAACCACCTAAAATGGGTTTAACATTTGGGCAACTGGCACAGTGGCATTTCTCTGGCACAGCTGAGAACCATTTTAAAATTTTATGACTTTTAGTCCCTACACTAGTTTAAACAAACAAAAGTTGTACCTACCATGTAGGAACTTTCAGTTCAATATGTTAGCTTTCAGTTCAATATATGCCAATATACAGGCGCATTGTGGCATCATTGTTCAAGAAGCTCCATTCAGCAGAAGAAAAAAATCGATAAGTTCTATGTACTCTTGTCTTTCACTAGAATATGTCAGCTGTTATAAGAGAGTAGTTGAGAGGAAAAATGTAGAATTCCATCACAACGGAATACGGGAGGTGCTAGCATTTCCCCTTTGCCATTACAATTGTTCTTCTTAGGATGAAACTTAGGATTGCAAATTTTGCTGAATTTACCAGTTTCAATCTTTGTAAATGAGATAAAGTTCACAGCCTGGGCCAAAAACCCCAAGCAGCTGTTGGGAGCAAGAGAGCAATAAGGACAGAAGAAAACAGATTCACTGCATTGTTATCAAGAATGGGTTTCCCTGCTATGTACTTCACCTCATTTGTTGGGCTATTGACCACCATGCCAGTTCTTTCATCCAAACCTAGAGTGGAAAAGAAGCCAAGTGAGGTCCAAAATCCAAATGACTTGATAAAAAAAAAAAAAAGTAGCTTTTTCCTCCAAAGGAAATAAATCTTTTTAAAAAATATATATCTTTATTGATTTCAGAAAGGAAGGGAGAAGGAGAGGGATAGTAACATCAATGATGAGAGTCACCGATTGGCTGCCTCCTGCACGCCCCCTACTGGGGATGGAGCCTGCAACCCGGGCATGTGCCCTGACCAGGAATTGAACAGCGATCTCCCGAATCATAGGTGGATGCTCAACCACTGAGCCACGCCCGGCCAGGCAGGAAAGAAATCTCTGAAAGATTATCAGCTACTTATACAAAGAATTTAGTGGATAATCTATATGCTGAGAGATATGGAACCCTTGATTACAAAAGGCCTCTTTGAATAAATGGGTTTTAGTATCCCTCAATATTGTTCTCTCAACACGGCTGGAGTTCATTCAGAAGTAGAAGAGAATATGAAAAGCAGAGATGACATGAAACTGGCAGACTGGGCCTGCCTTCCCAGTGGTTCCCCTCCAAGACCAACCTATGAGGCCCCTGAGAATAGAGACCACGTCAGCAGCCTCTGCAATGGATACCCAGGACTAGCGTGGTACTGGCACAAAGGAGGCACACCAAGATCTCTTGAATGAATTAACCTCACCACACAGCCCACAATTGTTATTCAACCCATTCAATATGATCAGAAACTTGCCCAGTTAGAGCCCAGTTTAGAATAAAACCTAAGCTCTTTAAAAAACATACGTTTGTGCCCTGGCAGGTGTGGCTCAGTGGCTACGTCAGCCTATGCACCGAAGGGTCACAGGTTTGATTCATGGTCCAAGACATGTACCTTGGTTGCAGGTTCCCTCCCGCCCCGAGTTGGGGCACATGTGGGAGGCAACTAGTCGATGTCTCTTTCTTTCACATAGACGTTTCTCTCCACCCCCCTTCTACTCTCTCTGAAAAAGCAATGGAAAAAAATATCCTCAGGCAAGGAATAACAAAAAACAAACAAAAAACAACATCATATGTTTGTGTGTGTATAATTATTGAGCCCTTAGTGTGAATTAAAATCAGTTTGATTCTTCTTTAGCATAGAGATGAGACTAACAAAACTGAGAATACAAACATTCAGACTGGTGGGAAGGGGAGCGGAAGGGAAGTAGATTATCTTGGGGCATGAGGAGAATCACAGAAACTTTCTCCCAAATCCCAGCCTCTTCATTATATGAATCAAAGGAGAAAATGTAGTTCATTAGTGTGTGGAGCAAATATACACCTAACAAAATATGTCAGTACCCTGACATGACAGGAGAGCCTCAGAGCAAAGCACAAAAAACTTTTGAGAAAACTGACTCTCCCGTGTATCTTAAGTGGGGCTAAAAACTCAGCAGGGAGGAAAGCAAGCACGAGTCCCAAGGGAAAAGGAGGTCATATGTGTATAGTCAGATTAGTAAAATAATTCTCTCACATGGACTTGTAAAACAAGTAGAAGGACGGGGCATTAAAGTGATTTGATCCCAAACGTTCTGCTTTCTTGGGATTAGGTGAAGTCCCATTAGCAAAACCACGCTTCCTGCACTACCATATGCTCCCCACACAGCTTCTACTCATTGTTCTGGACTAGTTCTCTTTCAATCAGCTTAACAAGAAAGAGTAAGAAAATAAAAATTATAGAAGAGACTGCCCTATCATTCCTGGTCTCTCAAGTCCTGGTGTCTTTGGGATTGTTTTCATTGCCATATCTTTTTATTTTATCTTCTAATTTCTTTCCCATTTCTTTAATACACCAACAAGCTGCAATACAGTAATAAGGTAATGTTCTTACCTGTAAATTGCATTGTTGCTCCTAAATATGAGTCCACGATTGATCCCAGTAAGCCAGCCAGACCCCCAACTACAATAATTGGCCACTGGGGAGCAGAAATGTCCAAATCATTTACAAAAACCAACTGTGTGAGGAAGTAGGTAAGGCCCACAAAGGTACCACCAAGGAGACTGGAAGCCAGGCCCACCATCGTAACCCCTCCATTGGTCCCTGAAGAAGAAACATGGATAAAATCGTCTGGTTAACAATCAGCAAACACATAAACACAAGGAAAGCAAAAAAATTTGGCACCTATCCAATCAAGACTAATTTAAAGAAAGGAGGGTTTTCTTTCATTTAACCCAAAGATCGTAAGAGCACAGCCTACTTAGAAAACAGTCTTTTCTCCTCAGTAACTGCTGACATTCTGAGCAGTGAAATAGAATGGTTCAGTGGAGGGAGACGGCCTGGTTTTAATCTTAGTTCTGCCACTTCCAAGCTATGTGACTCGTGAAGTTACCTAACTTCTCTACGCCTTAGTTTCCTTGTTTGTAAGATAGAAATAATAAAAGAACCAATTTGTACGGTTACTAAGAGCACTTAATGGTAATCCATGTAGAGCAGTGCCTTGCACGTAGTAGGTACTCAAAGATGTTAGCTGTTCATGATGATGATAATGATGAAGAAAAAAAGGAGGAGAGAAGCAGCAGGAAAAAGAAAAGGAGACAGAGGAGGAGGAAAAGGAGATGAGGGAGGTGGCAGTGACAAAGGCGACGAAGGAGCGGCAGTAGCTGCTAATAGGAACGGGGAATTTAGATACGTGTTAAAGCACTAACCACATAACAGATCCTCAAGAAATACTCTGTTGTTCCCTCCCTCTTCCTTTCCCACTGATGCGTCTGTGAATCAATGCCTATGTTTCTGTATTCTTTATCTAGGGCTTGCTAACTTTTGCTGCAAATACTTAGCATCACCAATTTAATAGCCTACAGCAATTTTCCAATTAAGAAGATTAACGATTCCTCAAAGGCTCTTAAATAAGAAATACAATATCAGGTTTTTCTTTCTTCATAAACTTTTCTTTAAGTTTTTTTAAAATATATCTCCATTGATTTCAGAGAGAGGAAAGGAGAGAGAGAAACATCAATGATGAGAGAGTCATTGATTGGCTGCAGCCCGCAACCCGGGCATGTGCCCTGACAGGGAATCGAACACTGATCGCCTGGATCCTAGGTCGATGCTTAACCACTGAGCCACGCCCGGCCGGGCTTTTAAAGAAACTTAAATGAAGACTCACCAACTGGAACTTTCTCCCATGTTGTTATTAGCCTTGGCGAGCTTTTACTCAGAACAGGGCCAATTTCTGAAGCCCATGTGTCACCAGTACAGCAGGCCAGTGCAGCCAAGAGAGACAAACACATCCATGAAGCAGTGTGCTGCTTGGAAAAATCTATTGGGATTTCCCCGGGGCCACTTTCTATCATGTACAGTAGGGCCAGCTCTGTGGCTACAGCTCCGTTACAGAACACCTGAACCCAATTTCTCTGCCCACCTGGAAGCAAACAAGTAGGAAGAAAAAGGGACAAGTAATGTTTTCTTCTCAGAAGAAAAGTTATGCTGATATAGGAACTTAAATATTTTAACAGATAAGAAAATAAAAATGACTAAAAATTTTTTAAATGACTAAAAGTAGGATGGTAACTTTGCCCACATTCTATATTCTTTTAGAGTAATTACTGAAAGACTTTAGTGCTTCTTAAATTTTGCTGTTACTTGTCATTGTGGTGAAGTAAAGGTAAACTAAATCAGGCTACTACTTAAAGCAATTCTCATATAAAATTCGTCCATTTCAACAGTCTAAACATGTTTTGATTAAAAGCTTCTATGTTAGAATGAAACAAAGTTACTCTTTTAAATAATGTCAAACTTAATTCGTTTTACCTTCTTTATATTCTGGTTCTAGATGCTTCTTTATTTCTCCCTTCCATTTAGTGAGTTTAGAACAAGAAAGGAAAAACGTCAGCAAAGATGTAAAAAAGCTGAAGTTTGCAATGGTTAGGATAAATCCGACTATTAGCCCTGAAAGAAACACATATACACACAGAATTATATTAGTCCACACATTAATACTGTGGGGAAAAAAAGGATGGATTTTTATTGGTTATTTTCACATTATAACGTGAAATGTACATTTCCATTTTTACCAAATAAGATATTACCAAACAGTAAATTGAATGTCAGTTTGGTTAAATTGAGATCTGTTTTTTACCATATTTTGACCTCCTTTCAAACAAACCGTGCTATATAAATGTAAGATATTATTTTAGAAACACTTTATAATGAAGAACACGATATGCTTCTATTGTTATTAAACTATGCATTATATACATTATATATAATATTTGGATAGATGGCTAGTACAAAGAATTTTCAAATTAACTGTCGTTCTCTCATGGGCAATAAGACTATAAAGTCTTCCAGGTTTCTATTTAAAAACAAAAAANAAATTAACTGTCGTTCTCTCATGGGCAATAAGACTATAAAGTCTTCCAGGTTTCTATTTAAAAAAAAAAAAGTTTTTATTGATTTTAGAGAGAGAGGAAGGGAGAGAGATAGAGAGAGAGAAACATTGATGCAAGAGAAACGTGGATCTATCAATCAGCTACCTCCTGCATGCCCCCTCCTGGGGATTAAGCCCTCAATCCAGGCATGTGCCCTGACTGGGAACTGAACTGGGGACCTCTTGGTCCATGAGTTGATGCTCAACCACTAAGCCACACTGGCCGGACCAGGTTTCTATTTTTTACATTTCCCCCCCATAGCTTGGGATTTAAAAAAAATTTTTTTTCATTGATTTTAGAGAGAGGATGGGAGGGGGTGAGAAAGATAGAAACATCAATGATGAGAGAGCGTCATCTATCGGCTGCCTCCTGCACACCTCACATTGGGGACAGAGCCCAAAACCCGGGCATGTGCCCTAACCAGGAATTGAACCATGAACTCCAGGTTCATAGGTCAACACTCAACCACTAAGCTATGCCGGGATTTATGCTAGCTTGGGATTGATTTTCCAATTTATAAAGAAAATTTTAAAAAGATAAGCTTTTTATGCTTTCCCAAGAATTTTCACATGTTCTCGTGTTGAGCTTCACAAACTATGTGAAAAGATAGAGCATTTCTTAGCTAAAGTTTCCTACTTAAATCTATGAAAAAAATTCTGGATACCTGTGGAACCCAAAATGGAATATAGTCTGTGAATGTGATTTTAGATTTTGAGACTTTTCTCTTTGTCTCCTGTTTAAGCAAACAAAGAAAAAAGGGGATATTCTTTATTTTTCCATGAATGTCCAATTTTAAGGAAAGCTTCTAAAACCTATAGTTCAATCAGGAAAACAAACAAAAGGGAAACTTACCTTTCATGACACAGAAGAGGAAATAAAGGAAAGATGGATTTTTGCTGTCAGCAATATGGAAAGAGGCCCTGACATCAACTGCTAAATCAATCAAACATGCTTGAGACTTAAAGAACCTGCTGTGGGTTAAGTTAAAAATTATAATGTCTCTCCATAGGTAATTCTAAAAGGAAAGTATGAACTTATACTGAAATTGGCTTTTCAAATCACACAAAAATTCCTTAAAGGCCTTTTGTTACAAAATTTCAAAGTGTGCTAGTGAGTAAAACTTGATGTCAAGGTAGCAAAGTACCCTCATTTCTATTAACACAATGGTTATTTAATCCTATAAAAATGAATTAGAGATAGGATTCTGGGAAGATGGCAGAGTAGAAAGGACTAGGAACCTGTCTTCCCAACCAGAAAACAGAACTGGAAGAATCTGTCTGGTAAAATTATTTTGGAACTCTAGAGTCTATTGAAGGCTTGTAGTTTCTATTGGAAGGTCTGGAAGGGAAGCTGAAGTTAATTTTTGTTAATTTTAGCTCTTAGTTAGGTAGCCACTCCCCCCATCAACCACTGTCAGCAGGCAGTGTAGGAGTTGCACTAGCAGTTTGTACACAGCTTGTGGGAGCCAGGTGGGCAATGTGGATCTTGTTTTCCAAATATCAGGATTTGTATTCTGATCATTGATTGCTACTTCTGGTCACAGAGGTACAGACATAGAGCTTGGCAGCTACTGCTATACTCTACACCACACTGTTTCAAGCCCCTCCGTCTTCCAGAGGATTCAAACGGCTGGTTCCCAGCTCACCCTCATTTTTCTGTTTTTCCTCCTTTTGGGAGCCAGACATTAAAGACTAGGACATTCAAAAGCAATTGTATTTATGTCACAAATTAATAAGTCACCATGCATACCCAGGGAAAGGCATAGGCTCAGAAAAGACTGTGAAGACCTTAGGTTTTACACTTCAGGCTGATCCTTGGCAGAGAGACAACCTACAACAATAAAAAACAAAGCAAAAACAAAAAAAGAGCAAACCATGGGGACAAAGGAGATTCTGGTTTCCAGAGTTACCATGTAATTCGATGTCAACAAAAATTTCACACAGCATACAAAGAAACAGGAAAGTATAGCCCATTCAAACAAAAAAAATAATTGAACAGAGATAACTGAGAAAGGTCAGATGGTGGGTCTACTAAACAAAGATTTCAAAACAACTGTCTTAAAGATGCTGAAAAGAATAAAGGAAGATGTGGCAAAACTCAAGAAAACAATGCATGAACAATATGGAAATATAAATAGATATATGTAAATACTCATACACATATATATTTTATAAATCACAAGATTACACCAATAACTCTATTTCCAATCCAATGCTACAGGCTCTCTATTGCTTTTCCCCATTGCATATTCGTATGCCTTTCTCCTTAGTAAAAACTCTGGCTTCAATGACAATGACAATTTCACTCATTTGCTCAATCCTTTATTACATCTAAAACTATTTTGGAATTGCTTCACCCCTACTACAACAACAACAAAAAAACTATCAAAAAAACTTCGGAATTCTCCCCTTCCCCTAACCAAGACTAAAGGAATATAGTTAAATACTGTGTTTGTAAGTTACTCTTTTTCTTTTCTTCTCTTCAGTGTACTTATAGTACTGATTTAAAATACAACTGGGTTCATCTGTTTTAGTTTGTTTTCAGTTTTAGATTCCTCCCTCCATCTTTACTGATTTACTATCGTAAATACATAGAACACTGGCACACTTTCAAAAGTCAAACTTATACTAAAAAGTATACTACTTGAGAAATGCCACTTCCTCCCAAATCCCTTCTGTTCTTCCCCCTATATTCTGGTCTCCCTCCGTTCTTGTAGGTAACCAACTTCACTGTTTTCCAGTTTATTATTAAGTGTTTTCTTTTTATAAAGATAAGCAGATATATGCATGTTTTGTTATTTTTCTCTTATTCCTTACACAAAAGGTAGCATTCTTGCCCTAGTCCATTTTGCTCAGTGGTTAGAGCATAGGCCCGTGGACTGAAGGGTCCTGGGTTTGATTCCAGCCAAGGGGACAATGTGAAACGTAACAATATTCACGTCACAGGAGTGCCAGAAGAGGTCGAAAGTATGCAAGGGTTAGAGAATCTGTTTGAAGAAATAATGGCAGAAAACTTCCTTAATCTGGTGAAAGAAAAAGTTATACAAGTTCAGGAGGCACAGAGAGTCCCAAGCAAGAAGAATCCAAAGAGGGCCACCCCCAGAAACATCATAATTAAAATGCCAAAAATTCAAGACAAAGAGAGAATATTAAAGGCAGCAAGAGGATAGCAATATGTTATTTACAAAGGAGATCCATAAGGCTGTCAGCTGATTTCTCGTCAGAAACTCTACAGGCCAGAAGGGAATGGCTTGAAGTACTCAAGGTAATGCAAACAAGGATCTGAAACCAAGACTATTCTATCCAGCAAGGCTATCATTCAAAATAGATGGTGAAATAAAGAGCTTCCCAGACAAAAAAAGGCTAAAGGAGCTTATCACCACCAAACCAGCATTACAGGAAATGTTAAAGGGACTGCTGTAATAATAAGAAATAGAGAGAGAAACATAGGCAAAAAGAATTAAAATGGCAATAAGTAAGGACCTATCAATAATAACTTTAAGGACTTTAAGGGAGAGATCAAAAGCAATACAGTCATAGTCAGGGACTTTAACACCCCACTAACTTCACTGGATAGATCTTCCAGACAAAAAGTCAACACAGAAACAGTGACTAAATGGCACACTAGATTAGATGGATTTAATTGGTATTTACAGAACATTTCACCCCAAAGCTGCAGAATATACATTTCTCTCAAGTGCACATGGGTCATTCTCAAAGGCAGACCATATGTTAGGACACAAAACCAGTCTCTACAAGTTCAGGAAGATTGAAATCATATCAAGCATCTCAGATCACAAGAGCATGAAATTAGAAATCAACTACAGTAAAAACACTCAAAAATATTCAAACATATGGAGGCTAAATAACGTTATTAACAATGAATGTGTTACCAGTAAGATCAAGAAAGAAATAAAAAACTTCTGGAAACAAATGAACGCACAATCCAAAATCTATGGGACACAGCAAAAGCAGTCCTAAGAGGGAAGTTCATAGTACTGTAGGCATACCTCAAAAAGCAAGACAAATTTTTAGTAAACTATCTAATCCTGCACCTTAAAGAATTAGAAAGTTCCTCCATGGCTTTTGTTTGCTGAGAGTTTTTTATGACTGCTTCAAATTTTATCAGTTGTTATTAGCCTATTCAGGTTTTCTGATTCTTCCTGATTCAGTTTTACATGATCTCACTCATATGTGGAATCTAATAAATAAAACAGACTGAGGAACAAAACAGATCCAGAGACATAGAAGCATGGGACATGGGACAGACTGATGAATCTCAGTGGGAAGGCAGGGGTGGGGGAGTGGGTGGGAAGAGATTAATCAAAGAACTTATATGCATATATGCATAACCCATGGACACAGACAATAGTGTGGTGAAGGCCGAGGGTGGGGGGTGGTGGATGCTGGGTGGAGGGGATCAATGGCGGACAAGAGGGGGGATATCTGTAATACTTTCAACAATAAAGAAAAATAAACAAAAAAAGGAAAAAAAGAAGGCTGGTTAGCCCTGCGAGGTGTGACTCAGTGGTTACAGCACTGGCCCACTCACAGAAGGGTGTTGGGTTCGATTCCCAGTCAAGGGAACGTACCTGGGTTGCAGGTTCGATCCCCACTCCTGGTAGCGAGAGGCAACCAATCGATGTGTCTCTCTCACATAGATGTCTCTCTTTCTCTCTCTGTGTGTCTCTCTCCCTCCCTTCCTTCTTCCCTCCTTCTCTTCCACTCTTTCTAAAAATCAATAGAAAAAATATCATCAGGTGAGAATTAACAAAAAACCCCAAACAAACAAACAAACAAACAAAAAAACAACCCAAAATAAAAACACTGACAGGAGAAAAATTCTGAGGTGTTCAATATTAAATTACAGTGAGCCAAAGACTGGGAGAAAGAGACAAGGGTAATTATCCAGTTAATAGCTGTGGTCCAGCTAACTAAAGACTGTGCACATTCCTCAATATATGTTGGAGCTTTGAATGAACTTCCAGGAAGCTTTCTAAAAAGAAATGGCCAACCTCCAGGGGCTGCTGCATCCTGCTTATGCATGAACTTTCCTGAATGTTGCCCACAGCCAATCAAAAGTAGTAAATATTTCTTCCGTAAGTACTGTGTACCTATCCTAGAATCGCCCCGGCTTCGCCCCCTCCTTCTCTAGAGCCAGTGTAAATTCTTTCAAAACAACATACATCTTTAAAAGAGCCCCATCAGCTTCCCTCACCAATAAGCCCATGATGTCCTATTTCACAAGATAAAGACATTTTTGTCTCTCCATCTGTCTCTGTTGCTGTTGGTTTAGACTATATGTCCTAGGACATGATCTTTTATCTGGCTAGCATATGGCTCAATAACCCCTTTCTTTCACAAAAGCTTTTGGCTGCGAAGGTTTTTTTGTTTAACAACATGAAGGCCTAAAGAACCAGAGGTTGGCAGACTTGTTGAACACCACACAAGGAATGAAACCCTTTGATCTATGGACTTGCATTACTGTTTCTCAGCCTTTGTACTTACCAAAGTAACCTTCTAATTATAATCTGACTTCTCAAATAACCTGACTACAAGAATAGGGCATGCCTGAACAGTGACGTTTATATGCCAGTTAGCCTGGTAGTTCCATATTTTATCAGATTAATAAAGTAGCATTCTGGCTCATATATCAGTCCCTTGTGACAATGAGCAGCATAAACCAGTTTCCTTGGGTCTGATCAACTCTGGGTACCTGACAGAATGAGGTTTCCATTTCAGAAAGACTGAACACCAGACCTGAACTATGGTGACAAAAAAAGAGGTCAAGGCCACCCTTGTGAGACCATAGGGAGCACAACCACCAGCCTTTCCTAACACCCCATTGCTGTGCACTTTCATTACAGGTAAAGCATCTCCTGGGGAATAAATGCCTCAAACCCATCATATTTATCACCTGTCTTTCCTGACTTCAAATGTAAGCTCTCTGACAGCGAGATTTTTATCCATTTTGTTCACTATTAAATCCTAAGTGCACAGAACAGTGTCTGTCACAGAGGGGGCCCTTATTAAATATTTGTTGAATGACTGAATGAAAAAAATGGTAAACCATTAAGCCTAATGGTCTTGGCAAATGAAATTAAATTTAAATTGTCAAGTCAAAAGCCTGGTGACAAATTGTCCCACTGACATGTTCAAGGGCAAACAATGAATAACTAAGTCCAGACAATATTTCTTTGGAGCAAATTACCTGCACAGTGCTTTATAGTTTACAAGCACTTTCCCACATGTCCTACTGTGATTCACTCCATATTCTAGAAATACTCTCTCATGGAGACCAGAGCCCTCCACTTCAGTGTCCACCTTAAGCACTGCCGCAACCACTCCACTCCCTCTTCTATCTACACTGAGCTATGTGTTCCTATGTCAATACGGCCTCTAAATGCCCAGATCTTGTGGAAGTTCTAAAACTCTTCTCAATCCTAAGCACAGTAAAGCCATAATATGGCAAACCTTAGTAAAATTCCTTTGACCATGAATAGTAGTAGTGGAACAAAAACAACAACAACTTACATTTGTAAAATACTTATTATGCATGCCAGGTACTAAGCTAAACATTTCATATGGACAACTCCTCATGATAAGTCAATGCTAAAGGTACTATTATCCTCTCCTATTTTACAGATGGGAAAATTACAACACTGAAAGTTTAAGCGACTTGCAATCATATTCCACAACAGTATTCCCAAGCACTATGATATACTTTAAATCAGCATTCCAGTTTTTTGTCCTTAAGGGGGAAAAAAGCTACAAGCAAAAAGGATACCAACAGTCCATAGAATGAAATGACTAGGAAAAGAGCAGAGGTTTTAAAATCAATCTACATATGTTTCCTAAGCACCTATTATTGTGTGTAACACTATTCAAAGAAGCATGGGACACAGAAGCATAAGATACACTCTATCTTTAGAGATTTTACAACATGGTTGAAAATAGAAAATAAATCATTAACAGTGAATATTTGTATAATGCTGCATAGTTTCAAAAGATGTATTGTCCACACATTATCTTGTTTGAGCCTTACCAATAAGCCCACAGGACTCATTTCACAAAAGATAAAATAAAATGAGACCCTGAGGAGTTAGATCATGTGGCAAAATTCAGAGATAGCAGGTGGCAGTGATAGGATTCAAATACTTATCTTCTAATTCTAAATCAAACTAAGTAGAGATGAAGAAAGGCCCAAAGGCTAGAAGGCAGAAAAGAAAATGGTAGCAGAAAAAAACCAAAAACAGGGATCAGAAAAATAAGAGGAGAAGCAGGTCAATATACAACAAGGAAACCAAAGGAAGACAGAATTTCAGGTCAAGAATAATAAAAAACACGGCAAGGATACCTGAGAAAGGATATTTTTAGCAAAGCATAAATGTGTCATTATATTTAAGCAGAAATTGTTTAAATTATTTGCTATAAATGGGTTAATATTTCCAAAGTGCTAACAACAATGCTTGATATGTACAACATAACACTTACAAAATAAATAAAACATAATTCCTAATACTTATTGATTATATGGTAAGACAAGATATATATAAAAATATCAGTATGTCTCTTAGCTATTTTTTCCAATAGCTCCTTTATTTTACACCTAGGAAGAGTGCTCCAGTGTTTCTGCTAGGAGATAATTTAATCCAACTATAGGAGCAGGGTAATCAAGGTCCGCAAAAGTCTATTCTATTAATTTACTTGATATAATTTACAAAGTTAAATTTGCACATTACATTAAAAGGGTATGTTAGTATCTGAAAATTTGACAGAATAGGAATGCTGAGCAATGCATAAACTTTAACATTGTCTAATATATATATAACACTGGGATTTATAGTCTCATACGTTCAGAGTTTAGAAAACATGAGTTTAATTACATAAGCAAGCACTTATATGGTTACATTCAATAGCAAAACATACCTCCTAAAGCTCCACTGTGATCTAGACTTTTCTTTTTAAAGCCATTATACATGATCAAAACAGGAACAACAACAGAAAACAGCCAACGCCAAGGAGAAACAGGCTGGAAGTTACCTGAAAAATTATAAAGGTAGAGTGTAAATTGTGTGAGGCCTGCATAGGTTAGTCTTGGCTGTAAATTTTTTTTTTTTTTTAATATATCTTTATTGATTTCAGAGAGAGGAAAGGAGAGGGAGAGAGAAAGAGAAACATCAATCACGAGAGAGTCACTGATTGAGCCCGCAACCCGGGCATGTGCCGACTGGGAATCAAACCCCGGTCGCCTGGATCCTAGGTCGACGCTGAGCCACAGCCGGCCGGGCTTGGCTATAAATTTGATAACTGCATCCTGGATTAAAATTCTGTTAATAAATAGGGAAACTGAGATAAAGTCACCAAAGTAAAATATTTATGTTGACCTGTATACTTGTATATTCCACTACTGGCAATAACCAAATAAGTCCCAGTCTAAGTTTTGGAAAGCATTTATAAATGGTTATTTACAATAATGGGTATTTCACCCATATTTGGAGATTTGAAATAAATTTTTTTTGGAGACGAGGCATGTATTAAATCTCAAAAATACCACAGAACAAATTCCTTTCTTAACAGGATTCAATTATTCCTCTGCCTTTCAGAGATTTTTTTTTTTTTTAAAGTAACATTCTCACATGCTACATACCTCAGGATTCAATGGTTAGCAACCGATTTTTCCAAAGACTGGATCCAACTCATAGATGTTTTGTTTTTGGCTAGCATAACATTTTTAAACAATTTGAGTTATGACAAAAACAAACAGAAAATAAACAATTTGAGTTAATATTTAAAGATTAGATTTCATATACAAATCCAGATTCTTGGCTTGTTTTATAAACTATAAACTTGGGCCATGTGGCAGAATTGACTACAGGTGACGAGAGGCTGCCTCTTTTGTTTTGCAGTTTTGAAGTCCTCACCATTCCTGACAGACTCAACACCAAGGCTGAGTGAATACAGTAATGGAACATGTGAACTATTGCTTGTGCCTATGTTTCTATCAAAAATAAGAAAATAAAGGATAAAGAGCATCAAGTGTTCCACAACAACAACAAAAACCAAAAATGGGAAAATCCTATTTCTGAAAAGGAGAACTATTCCCATGTTTAATATACAAAGACCTGGGACAGCTTCACTCATTTGCATCAGATGCATGGCCCCAGGGGTACCTTCATTTACAAATCCTGTTTTATTCTATTGAGTTAGTCAGAGTTTTTTGTTTTTTTAAAAAATATATCTTTACTGATTTCAGAGAGAGGAAGGGAAAGGGAGAGAGAGAGAGAAACATCAATGATGAGGGCGTCGTCATTGATCGGCTTTCTCCTGCAAGCCTCACACTGGGAATCCAGCCCCAAACCCGGGCCTGTGCCCTGACCGGGAATCAAACAGAGATTTCCTGGATCTTAGGTCGATGGCTCAACCGCTGAGGCACGCCCAGCCGGGCAGTTCCTCACAGTTAATACTGGCATTAAGGAGACTCTTCGTCCATACCTCTCCTCCCCAAGCCCTCATCCTTCCAGTTGAACAGCCCTGAAAGAAAGCTTCCTGCCCTGGAAAACGCCCATTCGATTGTTCAAGTGTCTCTGAAAAAGGACTCAAGTCTGAACTGGCAATCTCTTACAACACATCACTTACAAAGTTTACTTTCTCACTCCACCTCTCACTTTTCTCCTTGAACTGAACAGTATTCTGTTTTTATAGGAGTACCAAGGAAGTTTGTGTAAGGGCATATTTATGCTCTAAAGCAGATTAAAAACCTTAAAGACTTGAGTCTGGGGTAACTCTAATTATGCAAAGTGGGTTCAGATTTTAAAAGGACTGTTATTTTGAAGTGACCAAACAGCATACAAATCCTCTAAATCTCCAAATATAAACACTGTATCATCTTTTATTTTTACAGGACAAATGAAACTGATAAACTATATTATGAATATCATTAAAAGTATCATTGCATGTGCTTTACAAAACTATGCTTTAGTTATCTCTCACCAAGATGGATGTTATAATTACATAAAACAAGAACATATTCTGAAATAGGTAAAACTAATATTATCACAAGCAGCATTTATTAAAGGGCTTAGAATGTTAAAGGCACTGTTTATGTTTTCTGGTAAATTAAATCCAGGCTGTAGAAGTTAAGTAAACACAATTCATAACCATTCGGAGGATATGAGTTTTGGATTTCACAATGGTAAGATTTTAAATGCGCCACCGATTAGTTTATATAAAAAATAACTGAGCCCGACTAGCATGGCTCAGCGGATGAGCACGGACCTGTGATCCAGGCGAGGTTCGGTTCCCGTAGGGGCACACGCCCAGGCTGCAGGCTCCATCCCGAGTGTGGGGCGTGCAGGAGCAGCCCATCAACGACTCTCATCATTGACGTTTCTTTCTCTCTCTCCCTCCCCCTTCCTCTCTCTGAAATCAATAAAAATATATTAAAAATATAACTTAGAACAGTCATACTTACCATAATAGGTGCTTGCTGTCATAGACATAATCCAGAAAGCTAAAGAAATGCAAATGATCAGGCTCAATATAACTATATTAGTTATCATCTTTATATATTTTCTGCATATACTGTCGTCAAGATCTGTCATGAAAAATAAAGATATGAGCAACTGAGAAAAATAATCATTTAAGTTGCCAGCAAAACACTTGTGTGAAGGCGAACGTAAATGTCAACATCTTCCACCGATCAAAACAAGAATATAAACCCGAAGTATTTCCGGACACTGTTGGTGGAGAGCACCTCTGGGCGAGTTGTTAAGGCTCCATAGAAAAAAAAGTGCACCCACTCAGAGCGCGGACCGCCAGACCTCCATCACCTCATGAGGGAACAAACCCGGAGAGGAAGGTAAAAGGAAGCGGAAGCAGCCAGTCGGACGTCCTATGGCGAGCGAGCTCCGCCCCCACGGCCCGCCCACGCGCAGACGCCTGGATGTCGGCGAGTGAAAAGTGGCAGGAACTGGAGTCGGCACCAAGACGAATCCGGGCAGTTAGCCGGCCGTGACGGACAGCGGCCACGATCCAACGGCCGCCCGCCCCGCCCGGGAGCCCAAGTCCAGTTCTCCAGAGGAAAGAGGGTCCTGGAGCTCAGCCTGAGCCGCGCCGAGTCTCCACCTCCGGCGGCTCCCCTCCCGCGCGCAGGCGCCGTGGCCGCCCCGGGACGTCGCCTCGTTCACGTGAGCGTCTAAAGGGCGGCTGCTCGGGCGCTGGGGCCGGAGAGAGTCGGCCGCGGCTCGGGCCTGGAGCGTCTGCGGCGCTCCTCGGGTAGTACTGATTCCCGGGCCCGTGGGCCTCGTGTTTGAGGTTACAAGGAAACGCCGCAAAGTGAAACCACCACCTGGGTAGTCACAGAGTAAAGGAATGCAGGTGACTTTAGACCCAGCAGGAAGTCCATTTCAAGCAGAATATTCAAATACTTTTCATCTATGAGGAGTTCATGGCATATATTATGGATTTTTTTTTTTTTTTTTGGAGGGGGACACATTGTGTTGTAAAAACGGAATTATATGACTGAGAAAATCATTTAAAACCACGTTTAGTACCTATAATGTGCTAGGCACTGCTGGCCGCTAGCGATGTAAAGATAATGCTGGGGGGGGGAGAGAGAAGGGTGGACGTAGCTCCTGCTATTGAGCGCTCAAATTAGTCATGACGTCACTGTCAATGTGCAACTCTGTTCCCACACCTCTCATTTGAAGTGTGTACATTCAGTCATTTCATTTAGAAAGCACAACGTCTTGTTACCATTAACAATCCGAATCTCCTGGCTGATTTTACGTTTTATTTGAAATAAATTTTGTTTGCCTAGGTGAACAGTAACTAATTGATACTCCCGTTATATTTATGAACTTTTTCACTTAATTGCTGACAATGTAAGAAGAGGAGGCAAGTCAGTTTCCGACACAGAACTCAAATGCTTTAACCCACTGAGAGTATTTTTAAAAAACCCACACTATTTTAAATTTAAACATACATGCCAAGACAAGTGAACACACTTTCCTTTGGTGAGGGAATCTAAGAACCAAATCTGTGAAGTAGGACTCAATGGTAGTGGCCTTGTTTTACGACTTCATGTGGAAATTCATGTTTTCGTCTGTTCCAAACAAATGATTGGATTACCTCAGAAAGCTGACTGGCCAGTATCAGTGATTCCAAACAATTATTATTATTAATAGCAAATGCTAGTACCGCCGGGCTGGGCGTGGCCCAGCCGTTGAGCATCAACCTGGGATCCAGGTGATTGGGGTTCAATTCCCGGTCAGGGCACATGCCCAGGTTGTGGGCTCGATCAATGACTCTCTCATCATTGATGTTTCTATCTCTCTCTCTCCCTCTCCTTTCCTCTCTCTGAAGTCAATAAAGATATGTTAAAAAAAAAGCTAGTACTTTTGTGGTTTAACATATTGACTTCCTTTTTGTCTCAAAATTATAAAACAATCTTGCTTTCCCCCCTCCCCCCTCACTTTTTCACAATCACTGGGTAACATTGTCTGATTTTGTTCTGAATATTTTTATCTCCAACAGAAAATCATGGGCTAGCTGTGTCTGGCCTCTCCTAAGAACACTGTCAGCCTAGTTCCTGGATGTCAGGGGTGATTTTTCTTTTTCTCATGACTGTCTGGCTAAAATTGCATATTAAATAATAAATAATAGTGCCAGTAACTGACCCTTCAAATGAAGGGTCCATATTTCACTTCCATTTTTCTTAGTGTCCAATTCTTGCTGTTGTTCTCCACAAACAAATTATTTTGGCTTAAGACTGAAACAATTTGGGGAATTAACCCTTTGTGGTCGTATGTCTGCTCTCAGCCACCACAGCAAGGAACCGTACGAATCTTAACTCTATTCATTCATGTATCAGTTCATAATTTCTCTGAAAGCTCTTAATTCCGACCAGTACAACACCCATGTCCAAATTTAATATGACCGCAAAGGGTTAATGTAGTTAAGATATACTATTATTTAAAAAAACAACACCACATGATTTTGTGGTGATGGCCAGAGGGAGGGGCTGGGTGGAGGTGGGTAAAAGGGGGAAATAGGGGACATCTGTAATAGTGTCAACAATAAATTTATAAAAACCCCATAATTTTACACTCCAATAATTTTTATAGACTTTAACAATCTTAAAAATATCAACAAAGTCGTTTTCTATTTACTTTAATAGCCATTTTCTAGCAACAGAGGATTTCTGGTTAAGCATTTTTTAAACTTTATTTCTCAAGATACTAGTAGGTATGCTACCCTCTGCCTCTACTCCCCACCCAATACCTCTGAGCAAATTTAAGGTTGAGAAATATTGTATACTCGTAGGACTGTGAGAACGCATTGTTAAAGGCTCTGAAAAGTTAAGGAACTTGAACATCTTTAAATCTTTCCAATAGAGTTAATTCTGTTTTACCAGATTCATTCCTTTCACTCAGAAAACATGAGATTGAGAATTTCTATAGTAACCAGAGCAACAGACTGAAAATTCACTGTTGCATTAATAACCTTTAAATGTCACAGTATAAATACCTATTTGTTTTTGACATAAACAAGTTTGGATTTTTCTGGGATAGACATTTGGTACTTAACACCAATTATAAAAATCATCCCAATGGCAAAAAGCACCTACCATTGCCAGGAAAGTATCAGTGGGTTCTATGTACAATCCCTTTGAATCTAAGTTAAAGGAGTGGTTTAGATTTTTTGAAATCTAATATTTGAACGTCTAATGTATACATGTCAGACCCAAAAAGAAAACAAAACACCTACATACACTGCATTGAAGGAACATAGGAGGTGAAAATAGATACGTAGACAATTACATTATAGTAATATGGCAACTTTATCTAAGTTGTGTATAAAACAGGACTCAAGGAGTAAAGCACTTATGTCACTTTGGTATGTTAAAGCAGCGATTTTCAACCAGTGTGCCACAAGAATTTTTAAAACATGCAGTAATACGTGACTATTTAGTCAGGAGCACTGGCCATTTTCCCCTCAGATTGTCAAATAAAAAAAATGACAACAGCCAACACTGCAGCAGCCTTCTGGTGTGAATGAATAAAAATTATACCAATTTTTTTGTCAGATTGGCAAAAAATGTATTTTTTGGTCAGCTGCAGAATTTTAGTAATTAATGTATGCTGAGATGAAAAAGGTTAAAAATCACTGTTGAAGGTATCAGAGAGGGAGTGTCAATGCTGAGACTTGACGGATGAGAAGGAGTTGGTTGTTACCAAGCTAAGTGAAAGACAATGTGTAAAGGTTTGGTGGCTAAGAGGAGCATGAAAATAGGAAGTTCAAGAGAATGGAAAAGAGTCAGGGATCAAGTTTGAAATATCTAAATAATTAAACTGAAAATTAATCTGATAGGCACATATCTGCTTTCTTGACATTAAACACAAAGATTTTTTTTAGAAGTTTTTTGAGCACAAATTTTAAAAGCCTAGGCAGTAAATTTAAGACTGGTATGTTGAATTAGAGTCAACTCATTCTAAAAGGGTATTAGGAAGAGGGTATGGAACAGTGAGGGCAGGAACAAATGGAGTATTTTTTTCCCAGCAGCCTTGAAGACATTGACCATGTCTGTCTAGTTCATCCTAGTTTGCTCAATGTCTCTTAGTGAATGTTAAGATAGTATGTTTTGAATTAAAGTATTAAACAATACTTTAATAATCAAAAAGAAAAATCACATCTTGTATCCTTTTAATTAAAATAATGCTTTGATAATCATATCTACAAGTAAATCTTTTTGTTAGCCTCAAATTATTGTCAGGGTAGACAGAATTTTTATAGCCGTTGGTATATCTGGTTTAGATTGCATAACCAGTATTCAAAACATTGCACATAAACTATAATGGACGTTTAGATATAACTTGAGCAACAAAAACGATAATGATAATTCCTCTTCCAGGCTTTACATATCTTTATTTTATTTACATTGGCTTCAATTTAGGGAGAAGAACTTCTACAGAAGTATCACAAGGGGTAGATTTAAGGGAGGACTTCCACTGAAATGTTCATGCACATTTTTTGGAAATAATAGTCATGATAGTAATGTCCTTGGAAAAAAGTTTTTAATATCAACATACTCAGAATACATTTTTTATGAATACAATATGCAGTTATTTAATATATATTATAAAATAATTTTAGAAAGTTTTCAAACTTTCTAAATAGCAAAAGAATCCCATTTTCTGGCATAAAATTGAACCATTTTCTATATATTATACCAAAATTAAAATTTACCCATATTCTAGCATTGAGAAATAAGATAAAATACCAACATTATAAAGTGTACCTAGAAAAGATCAACGATGACTTCATAGACTATTCTTACAATATGTATATATAAAATTTTATATTAGTTTTTTGGGAAACATGACTTGTCCTATTTTAATAACATGATTTACATATTTAACAGAGGGCTGTAATGCAGAATAGAAGATTTGGAGGCTGAAGACCAATGTTCAATCTAGAACTTCCTAGATTACTAGCACTCTATCCCTTCTGCCCGTTGGCACAATAAATGTCTGAATGAATAAGTTACATCAGCACAGATTTCTTCAGCTATAAACTGGAGAATCCACCTACCACACAGAATATTTGTGAACAAGAGAACTCATGGGTGCCATAGTGCTTTGTTAACTTTAAGACGCTGAGCTAAAATGTTTTTAAAGATCTGAGTTAACAGTTTGTTATTTTGTAAAAATATCAAATGTCAAATACACTCCAGTACTTGGCTTTGATGTAGTATTTTATTTAGTTACATTTTCCTATTAACAAAGATATCGTTAACAACAAATTTGTTCATTGTTCGTTTTAAAGGGAAAAATGTCGTACAACTCATTAAAAAGACACTGTATGCAATTCAGGCCAACATCAGTGTCCTTTTACTTCCTTTGGTTAAGTCATTAGAAATCTGTTTGTTTGAAAAGTATTTCATTATAAGAAGGTCTGAAGTTTACGTTATCATTAAATTCCAATGCAACATCATTTACCAAAGCACTTCACACATATGTCTTTTATAGCGTTTATCATATTGTATAATAAATAATATTTTTTCCCCTCAGACTTTGAGCAACTTAAGGGTAGAAAATAAAGTCCAATTCATCTTTATGTCAAGTTACTAGCCTTGGGCCGGTTCTTTATAGAGGTTAGTGCCTAAGTAGACATAGAATGAATGAACAGAAGATATGGGTTGTGTCCAGCAGAGGACAAAGAGCTATTATAATTCTGATTGGTTTATATTATATGGTCAAAGTGATAGTTGTTTTTTTCTATTACAAGACTAGTTTTAAGGTAGACATATGTATGTTAATGAAAGAATTTGATGCAGATAGAGTTTGGAACATGTTTTCAGGACAGTAACATGAAAATGACATGGGGAAAATACCAAACATTTTTTTTACTTTAAAATTACTGAGTGGTAGTTTATTCAGTGGTCTCAAATAATAATGAACGGAGATTAAGTAACTTTGCTAAAAGCTTGTTGTATTTCATAATGTTCTATTTTTGTGATTTTAAAAATGTTATATTAAGATACCAAGATATTATTGTAAATGGGAATTAGCCTACATTAATTAGTGTTTTGTTTTGTATTGGGGAGGAGTGGTGAACTACATGAGAGTCTGTATTTGGAAAGCATAGTTTTTATGTTTAAATGATTATTTGCCTAATTTACTTTGAGGTATAAAGTAGATATGGTCAAAGTGTTTGCTAATGATTATGACTAGGTATTGGTAAAAAGATAATTTGAAACCATCTTAGAAAAACAACATGTAATGACAGTTCCAAGGAGCTAAATCTAATTATTTAAGATAAAATGACTAACAAGGTTTACAATACAGGGTGGGCAAATGTAGGTTTACAGTTGTTCATATGGAAAATAATACAATAATTAATAAATAATACAAAAATAAATTGTTTCATGTACTCACAACTGTAAACCTACTTCTGCCTCACCTTGTGTACACAAAAGGATTTTCATAAATATTTAAGTGCCTTGTAATTAAAACAGACTTTTCCTACCCTTGCCTTTGTAAAATCTACTTGCTCAGGAGGCATTGCTTATTCAAAGAGGGTGCTAATAATGTAAAAAGACTGTTGGTAGGGTCCAAGCATAACAGCAATCTAAGCCCTAGCCGAGTAGCTCAGTTGGTTAGCATACAGGCCCGATATGGCGCCAAGGTTGCCGGTTCGATCCCTGGTCAGGGTACATACAAGAATCAACCAATGAATACACAAATAAGTGGAACAACAAATCAATATCTCTCTCTCTCATCAATAAATTAAAAAACATTAACCCAGCAATCAAAACAGTTGGGGAAAAAATTTGTTTTTTTTAAATCATCAAGTAGCATTTACCTTATAGGAAAGATTTATAGCAGTTTATGATTAGGCGTATGTTACTTTCATATGGTGGTGTCAGAAAGCTTAAATCAGGATTGAATAACTTTGTATGATACATTAATAAAACTTTGCATGATTTGATCAAAGCTATTTGAAGGAAAGTATTCTTATTAAACGTTTATCTGGTGAAGTAAGGCAAATCCTTTAATTGGTCAAGTGGCAACTATAAGAATAGTACTGATATTCCATTTTGTAAAATAATTAGCACTTGTATAGCTTTATTCAGAGACACATGTATTTTTGTAGAGAACTATATTTTACTTCCCTTATGCAGTACGGTTGTTCTATTCTACTCTCACAAAGAAATGAGATAAACAGCAAGCTGAGTGGTTGAGCATTGACCTATGATCAGGAGATAGAGGTTCGATACCTGGTCAGGGCATGTACCTGGGTTTGGGGCTGNGCAAGCTGAGTGGTTGAGCATTGACCTATGATCAGGAGATAGAGGTTCGATACCTGGTCAGGGCACGTACCTGGGTTTGGGGCTCGATCCCCAGTAGGGGACATGCAGGAGGCAGCTGATCAATGACTCTCTAATCATTGATGTTTCTGTCTCTCCCCCTCCCTTCCTCTCTCTGAAATCAATAAAGATATATTAAAAAAAAAAAGCAAAGCAAGCTGGTGTGTAAGATAAATCAATTCCATTTTAAGTTTTAAGTTGTAAAGCTACAATATGCTAAGTACTGTTTTATAATTAAATTCTACTTTAGGTTTATGGGGGGGAAAAGCTTGAAAGTTTTGGTATCAATATACCTGAAGGCAGAGGGAGTTTCCTAACATGGAACTTAATTTGCTTAATACATCAATTTTGAAATTCCAAATGTATTGGTTTTATTTTGAGTAAAACAGTAGTATACAAGTAGTATACAGTTATTTTGTTTAATTAAAGTAAAAGCCAGATCTTGGTCTCTGCATTATTTCACAACATATTTTCTTAGAAGGTTGATATAATCGTTAACAGTTTTTACTAGTCTGAGGTACTCGAGGCCTTACTAGCCTGGATGACTCAAGGGTACTTCACATTCAAAAATATTTTCAAAATACTTTACAACCCATTTTAAAAGATAATATTCTTAGGACGGAGGGTCATGATTAGCTCACTTTTACTGTTAGAAAGGTACAGAAAGTTTAAATAAAAGAACTTGCCCTGTACCTCAGGCTTTTTAAAAACAAAGTTTCCAAATCACAGTGTCAATAATAATTAAATTAATATAAAATCTAGCAATTTTAAAGTCTTATTTAATGTTGGTTAACTCCTACTTACCATCTTACTTACAATGTAGTATCTCAACTTTGGTACACAAAAACATTTTTTTTGTTATATAAACACATTACTTGTCATAGACGTTTTTAAAAGTTGTTTAAAAAGGCAAAACCACAACATATCTTGCAAAATTTCCTAGCAAAATTTTAAAGTATGTAATTCTCATGTAAGGCACTTCCATGCTTTTTCAAATAAGTTTCATAAAGTTTTCCATTTTTGTAATCAAGTCTTCATAAGTTATACAGTAATGTTACTTCAAGTAAAACTTTATTAAGTGCCCAATTTTGGCATTATTTCCTTAAATATCTTTACCTTGGAATAAAGGATGGGCATCAAGATCTACGCAGGCTAATCTTAAATGAAAGTACTCTAGATTGGTTTTAGATTTAGAGAATTGGTAACATTTTATCTTGTTGGTCTTGTTCAAGAATCTGGAAATCCTCCAAAGGAAGACTGCTTAAGGCAGTTGGTAAAATGTGTTCGGATGTGCCCTTAGGTAATATGTTATTTGCTTCTAGATTCTTCACCAAGCATGTCGCTTTGATCCATCTTCGAGTTGCTCTGCGTTCTTTTTGTAGGCAAGTTTTCATTTTCCTTCTTAAACTTGCTATTTCTTTTTCTAGTTTAATTATCCTCTTTTTTGCCTCCATAGGATTCCTAAAGGCGTAACTGTGTTCAAGTAGCACTTGCTGACTACTAATGTTTGATTTTAAATTAGATGGTCCGGTTGGAGTACAAATGTTTTTCTTCAGAAGATTCCGTGACTTGAGTTTCTGGGCCAAATAAAATTAGAGGGTTGTACAGAAATTAAACAATATCACAAATAAATAAATTTTGTCCAGGTTTGTGTAACAGTATTTAAACTGCTCTTTTAAAAACTGATTTTAAAAGACAGAAAACCTCACCAACCCATCTCATGTAATCATGGATTCACGTTTCTAAACCAGCTGAATTAAATAACTCCAGCCACCTACTTCTTTTTGTTTTCCCTTTACTGAGAGATACAAACATTAGTTTGGAAACAGACAATGGACTTCCAAGGTCTCGTCCAAATTATTGATTTTATGGGGACTTTACATATCTTTTGCAATTTGCTCACCAAGGCCAATATAATGTATTTAGACATTTGGTTTATGGGATACTGACTTGATCTCTTTTTTAGGTAAATGTTATTTTCTCAGTATTTCAGACCTTGGGTCCTACTTGATAAAAATATATCCCCAAATATCAAACTCCTGAATAGATTTAGTACTTATTAATTGCTCAGTTACAGCTTCCATTCAAGGCTTTAAAATGTAGGCAGACATTTTTGCCCAAATCAGAAACCTGAGGACCCTTTTTTCCTTTTTCACTTTCATTCAATTAGTCATTAAGTCCTATTAATTTGACATCCTATATATCTTTATCATGAATCACCTCTCTAGTATTCTTTTTTAAAAATTATTATTAAATTTATTGAGGTGATATTGGCTAATGTGATCACATAGGTTTCAGGTGTGGGTTTCTATGTTTTAGGACCTGTATATTGTGCACTGTGTGCCCCCCACCCAAAGTCAAATCTTCTCCGGGCACCATGTATTAGGCCCCCTTCACCCCTACTCCCCTCTCTAGCATTCTTAATGCTACTCCCCACATCAGGTATATATAGTATCTAGCTTGAACATGTTAAAAACTTCTTTATTGATTCCCACCACATCTGGATCCTCACTAATCTGTATTCTGCCAGCAGAATAATTTTTCTACCAGATTTGATGTTTCTATACTGGCTGAATTCCTCCTTGCCTCCCCATTATCTAAAGAAAAAGAAATCTTTATATGGTATACTATGCTATTTAGGATTTTACCCATTCTGCCACTCATGATCTTGACTTGGACTCCAGCAATACTACACCACTTGTAGTTCCCAACTATATCATAACCTTATAACTTTGTGCCTTTCGTTCATTCAACAAACATTTATTGAAACACACAGGAACTTATTTATGAATTCTTGGGAACACAATGGTGAACAAATTGGACAAATATGGTTCCTATCCTCACAAAACCTACAACTGGCATGCCCTCTGCCTAGAGGAACTGGCAGGGACACTTTTTTGATCTTTACATCCTTAGCATCTGACTTAGAGTCTCACATAATGTAAAGTTCAGTAAATACTTGTTGAATGAATAAATGATCAAAATATCAAAAGTAAGGTATGCTTCAAGTTCAGCAAGTAGCTGAGTGTCACTGTGCCAGGCGCTATCTGAGTTGCTGAGGATCTGGAGTGAACAGGACAAAGTCTTGCTCTGTGGAGCGTTTCTCGTATCCGTGATAACCTGCTCTCGTATCCGTGATAACCTGCTCACCACAGTCTTCCCCACCCAAATATTAACTCATGCACACTTACAAATTCTTCTGTCACAAATAACTCAAGAAAAGCGGTTTTTCCTCTCAGAGGAAAAGATGCCCGTCCTCCTTTTCAAAGTTAACCTCTCTATTTTTGTTCATCCTACCCCTTTTTATTTTTTGGAGACCCTGTTTTTCTCAATTAGCTTTTTCCTTTCTGATCAGATCTTCCTCATCTATGTAAAATATTGTTTTAATACATCCATCCTGTACCTTAATTCTTTCCTTCCTTTTAAATATCACTTAGTAACATTTGATTATTTTGCATTCACCCTTCAACCCACTGGCTTTTGTTCTTATCATGCTATTGCAGTTGTTCTGTGCTGGGTCAAGAACCCTCTCCTAAATTCCAAACTCCAAGCTCAAGCCCAGCCTAAATGCCTGAGCTCTATGAAGTTTTCTGTTATACCTCTCTCTGAACTTACATTCTTTGGTATAGTTCTGGTATTCTTTGGGTGAAGTGTTCTTAAATAACTTGGCACACGTTTTGTATGTCATCTTAAAATCAGAGCAGAGTGATGCTAGATGTTTCATTACTCATGATTTCTCAGTTTTACCAATGGTTCAGTTATTATCAATTATTATTCAGTTATTATCAAATATTATCAATTATTACTGATAATAATTGGTAGTAAAGTAAAATTACAGTATAGGAAATTTGGATTAGGGAAAGACTTGAGCTCTAATACTGGCCTGCACCTTTACTGCACAAGAGGGAATTTTGCGACTTTCTTGAGGCATATCATCATATATGAATTTCAATATATTCTGAATTGTTCCATTTTATAAACAAAAAAAAAAAAGGTTCTAAAAATGGGGTACAAAAAGCAACATTACCTACCATAGACTTTATATGAGTACAAAAATCAAAAATGGTTGGAACAGCATCCATTTTAAGTCGTCGGGTTTGTCCTGTTAGGTCAAAACAGGAGGCTTCAAAATGCTTTGAACAAAGAAAAGTGTGTTTTCCTGGCACAAAATTTTTGCGCCTAACCAGACGAACCCATTCTTTTCTTCTTTTAGGATCCAAAGGAAACCTTAAAAAAAAAAAAAAAAAAAAGGGCATCTCAAATTCCAACTAGCATACTTCTGGTCGTACCTAAATGATTAAAACATATTTTAAGTGGTGATGATTTAAAATGTCCTCAATTTATATAAAAATTTTTAAATTTCCAATATCCAGACACTGGAACAGAAACCAATTCGTGCTAATTTTTCTAAGTTGTAAAAAAATTAATAAAAAACTGACTTGAGTGATTTTATATTTCGGTGCTTTAAAAAGAGATCTTTTTTCCTACTCTAGTCCTTAACATGGGCAGTAAAAATAAACAAGATTAAATTGATCTAGGCCCTGGCTGGGTAGCTCAACTGGTTAGAGTGTCATCCTGATATGCCAAGGTTGCTGGTTCAATCCCTAGTTGGGGCACAATAAGAATCTTGACCCAATGAATGCATAAATAAGTGGAACAACAAATCGATGTCTCTCTCTCTTCCTCTCTCTAAAATAAAAATAAAAAAGACTAAATTGATCTAGATTAAGCTTGCATAGAACCTTATAAGCAGGAGTAACTTCACATTGCACATATACATGGTCAAGACAAATCAAATTATCTACAGATTAAATTTTATCAAGGAAAGCCTAGATAGATTCTGGTATGCCTTCCTCTGTGTTCCCTCATTATGATACCACACTGTTTTGTAATTTTTCCATTTTAATAAATTTTCACAGAAAAGTAGATTATAAATTTCCTGAGGCCAGGAATCATTGTATTATTTTATCTTTTTGTTTGTTTGCTAATCCTCACCCAAGGATACTTTTTCCATTGATTTTTAGAGAGTGGAGGGAAGGGGGGGAGGGAGAGAGAGATACATGGATGTGAGGTACATTGATCGGTTGGCATGTGCTCTGACCAGGGCTGGGGATGGAACCCACAACCCAGGTTCATGCCCTTGACTGGGAATCTTACCGGAGATCCTTTGGTGCCTGGGCCAATGCTCTGGCCACTGAGCCATGCTGGCCAGGGCTTATCTCTTTAACACTTAGTACAGTGCCTTGCAACAGTAAGGAATCAACAAAAATTTGCTTAATTAAAATGAGACAGAATATATAAATTAATAACTCACTGTATTACTTCCATGTAAATAGCACATATATATGTACATATATATGTATATTAAAAAACTATATACATCTTTATTGATTTCAAAGAGAAGGGAGGGGGGAGAGAGAGAAACATCAATGATGCAAGAATCATTGATTGACTGCCTCCTGCACGCCCCCTGCTGGGGATCAAGCCTGCAATCTGGGCATGTGCCTAGATGGTGAGTCAAACTTCAATCTCCTGGATCATAGGTCGATGCTCAACCACTGAGCCATGCCAGCCGGCCTAAACAGCATATGTTTTTTAAAAAATGAACTCTTAAGCTATGTAGTACAGTAGAAATCATAATTACAAAAAGTAAAATGCTGCTGACAAGCCCAGCAGGAATGCTTTTCCTTTCATATTTATTTCAAATATAAAATATACTAATATGTATCCAGTTAAGGAAGAGAAAAATATAAGGGACTGTCAAAAATTTTAGTGGTAACTGTGTTGACTGACTTGGAAACATAAGAATCAACATTCACATGTAACAACTTTGCATTCAGTTCTTTAAGATTGATTACCTTATCCTTTTAAGTATTAATTATGAACTGAATAGTGTTTAAAAAGAACCATTCATGTTAGAAGATCATGTGACTCAGAAGTCCCTAACTGAAGCTTCACTAGGTAACAGCTTTGGTTGTATCAGATATCTGGGGTTTTCTCAAATGACCAGCAGTGAGGGGCACAAAGAGATGAAAGCCCAGATTTACTAGTAAATACCTCCAATCTCTTGTCCCTATCCCCTCAACCCCAAACATATCCTGATCTGAAGATACTAGCATTTGTATGTCACTCTACAGTTCATGCTTTCATATATGTAAGTTTTTTCTATTTCATTAGAAACCTCTGATAAATGTATCTACTCTACTTACCCCTCACCTATTAATAAAATGTATTCTCATTTCAAAGATCTCTGTTCCAATATTCAATAGTTTGGAAGTACTTCCTGTGACCTAAGCTAAAAAAAAATCAAGCTTTACTTTATAAACACTAAACTTACTAATTTTTCTTGTTGGGGGCCTCAATAAAGACTCAGAATTTACAAACTAGGTACTATAACTGGATTATCATTTGTATAAGACTCTTCAGAAATATGAAGCTTTCAGATATTTAATGTTTTTAAGCTCTTTTTAAAACTACCTAATTATGAAATCAGTGCCTCGAATTGAACCTTAACTTGAACAAACTTTATTTCCTTCTTTAAGACTCAATTTAGGAATCCTATCTTCCTAAAGAAGTTTCTCATGATCAGAAGACTAGGTTAGATGTTCCTATATGATATAGGACTAACATCACTGTATTCTAATTGCTTGCTTTTCTTCCTTTTTTGAGAGAGGAGAGGAGAGAGAGAAACATCTATCAGTTGCCTCCTGCAAGTGCCCCAACTGGGAATCGACCCCAACATAAGGCTCCAACAGCCACATGGGCCAGGGCTAATTGCTTGCCTTTCTATCTCCACCACTAGATCATTAAATTTCTCCTAGCTGGGAACTGTTTTCCACTATATCCTGTTAAGTAAGCACTCAATGAACTTTTCCAAGTGAATCAATGAATAAATGAACTAATGGGGTTAGCTTAGCATTACTAAATAATGTTTAGTTATCTGTGTTTATGTAACAATTTTATATTTGATTTTGGATAGTGCTTTTATACAGCATCAACCATAACCATATTTTGCATGTGTTGTTTGGATTTTTCTTAGTATATTCAAAGGGTGGTAGATATTAGCTCATAGTTGAATTTAAGTAATAATAAATCATCCTGTAAATATTTAAAAAATAACATAGTGGTAACAGATAGATATATGTTTGTCTGCACCATAATAGAACCAGGCTTTCAGAAACATTAGATGTTTTGGAAAAAAATCACTCAACATTTTAAACAATGCTATTTTGCTTGGTTGGGTCTTTAATAAATGGCTGAATGCCTCTTATATTCCAAGCACTGTCCTAGGCACTGTCCCAAGCACTGAACACATAGTGGTAAACAAAACTGACCTACTTTTATGGTATCTACCTTCTACTAAGGGTATACTGTAATGAGGAAGAGGATTGGACAGCTTGATGCAGAAGAATGGCTGACAACATTGTCTCTCAAGTCAAATCAGGGGTTAATCTTGGTTCCTTTACATAATTAACAGCTAGGTAACTTCAGGCAAGTTATGCAACCTTTTCAGGCCTTAGTTTTATTATCTATAAAGGTACCATTATAATGGTATCTAGTGTGGTTCTAGGGATTAAATGAGACAGTTTATGGCAAATGGTAAATAAATGCTATTTGTTAGTATAAAAGTAATTACGAGGTCAAATGGCACCATAAAACAGGAATAGCTAATCTAGTCTGGAGGCTTTAGGATAGTAGGAATTAGCTAGGGGAATTAGCGTGGGAATAGTGAAGAATGTTATGACATGAAATGATGCCAGAGGGCTTTCTAAGTTAGAGTAATTTTGAACTTTATCCAAAATGGCATTGGTAAGCCACGATAAGTCTTATTTTATAGAGCTGACTGTTAACAGAAAGTGTTTTAACTGGCTGTTAAACAGCCATTATTAAAAATTAAATCATGTAAATTTACAATAAATTAAAAACAAAGGTAATACTAAAAACCCATTACTTCTTAATTATTTTAGTATTATCAATACTTTTTTTTAAGTTTTTTATTGATTTCCGAGAGAAGGGAGAGGGAGAAATAGAAACATAGATGAAAACATCAATTGGCTGCTTCCTGCATGCCCCCTACTGGGCACTGAGCCAAAACCTGGGCATGTGCCCTGACTGGGAATTCAACCAGTGACCTCCCAGTGCATGGGACAACGCTCAACCAAATGAGCCACACTGGCAAGGTATATTATCTATTTTCTTAAAATTATTTATGTCTGGTATATCTGTATGGTAAATATGCTACATAGAATAGTGTGGCACTGTACATTTCTTCCCAACTTTATGATGTCATGTTGGTAGTTTGAAACCAGCCAGGGTAGGAGTATTTATATCATAGAAGTAGGGCAAATACTACAAATCAGGGCTTTCCCCTTCCCTGGAGATTCTGTTGTTAAGCATTTGGCAATACATTATTGATTACAGAAGAGAAGTTTGGAGTACAGGAATGGAAGTAGTGAACCAGCTAAGAGGTTGATATAATGATCCAGTCAAAAGGGAATGGGGAGAAGTCAAGGAAGGATGACCTTCCAGTTTCTGGGTAGATGTTGTTTTCATTTACTGAGAAAGGGCTTATGGGAAATGGAGTAGTTTGAGGGAAGGGCAAGCTTATTAGTACAGTTTGGATATAAATCTGAGGAACTGGAGAGAACAGGGAAATACTGAGACACTTGGCCTATAGGTCTGGAACTCATTAGAGAGTTGGACTGGAGATAATTGATTTGAGAAGCATCAACAAGTAATGTTAAGTGAGACCACAGGTACAGCTGAAATCTTTTTAATAAGGCCACAGAAGTAAGTGAAAACCACAAAATTAGTGTCAAGTAATTCAAAAGTAGAGAGTATTTCAAGGAGGAAATGATCACACGCCATGAAAAAGGAATGTAGGAGTGACAACTCATGTTAGCAAGAGCAGTTTCAGAAAACTATTGGTGAGACCTAGTCTGGAAGGGCTAAGAAATAAGAGAAATGAAGACAGTTACATTTAGGCAACACAAGTTGTACATGAGAATAAAGGAGGCTACCAATGTCTTAGGAGAGGAGTTAATTTAATATTGTTTGTATTTATAAAATAGAAATGTATTGTGAATAATGTTATATGGAAAGGAAGTATGCATGCTTCTGCATCACTGTGCTTCTCTTAAACATTCAGTATTATTGGTGCCTTGCCTTTTCCTTCTCTCATCTTCCAAATCAAATTATCAAATACAGTAGTATCTCCTCAAATATTTCTCAGATCTGTCCCACTTCTTTCCATCCTGTCATTACTACTATAGTCGAGGCCACTGGATGTCTCCCTTGTTTTATGACAGGCTCCTGTTTTTTCTCTATCAAATCTCACCTCTTCTAGTCTACTGCTGGTTGTGCCAGCAAAGAAGTACATTGTATAGTTCAGTTGACACTATAGCAGAATTCCCTGTGAAAGAAACAATAGGTAAGTGAATGTTCTTTAATAAGCTTCTTTCTCATCAAATTCATCTCTTGATGATGCTTAACCAGCACTTTAAATAACACTATTCTCCACACTTCAACCAGAGGACTTTTTAATATGCACATTTAATCATGGCATTCTTTTAAAACCCTCCACGGCTTCTTAAGTACTAATGGATAAAATAGAAAATTCTTAAAGGAGCATATAGGACCAAATCTATGTCACCATTTGGTCTCATTTGAAATTTCACATCCTTTTAGAAGTGTTCTTTGACTTTACAAGGCTAAGTTAGTTCTTCCTGAATGTCTTTTCTGTAGCACTTATCTGTAATTATGTTTGTCTTTCTTTCTCATGACATGCTAAACTCCAGGAACATAAGAATTTTCTGGAACCCTATCACGCAAATAAGAAGTCGGTACACATTTGGTGGATGAATGAATAAAGCACTACATTTGCATGAAGTAGTTGAAAACAGAAACATCACAAAGATTTTTTTTTCAGTGGCAACTTTTAATAAGGGAGTAAACTTAGTCATCATGAGGTAGGGAAAAGGTCAAGGATATGATTTCCCACATTCTAAGATTGTATTAAGTTGTGAGGTATATAAAAATCAGAACTGTTTGCACTTAACCTTTTTTAAAATATGTTTTTATAGTTTTTTGTTTTTTTTTTAGAGAGAGAAAGAGGAAGGAAAAGGGAGAGAACATCGACTGGTTGCCTCCTGCAGGCACCCTGACTGGGGATTGAACCCAAAACCTAGGTATGTACCCTGACCAGGAATGGAACGAGCGACCTTCCTGTGCATAGGACTATGCTCAACAGAGCCACACCACACCCTCCAGGGCTGCACTTAACTTTTTTAATGATTCTTTTTTTCAGTCACATGGCAGGCAGTTGCAGAGAAGGTAAACATTTACTTACTGTATATCATATAGTGTTCAAAGTACTTTCAAGAGTTCTGATTTGAGAGAGCTAAATAATTTTGATTGTTCTTCCTGCAAAGGAAGGGGAAAAAAGAAACTAGGTTCTTTTTATTACTCTGTTCTAGTAAGAACAGAGCTTATCTTTTGCATTTTCATTAACATCGCTGAATTCCACGATTATCATCCGTGATGACTCAGTTCCTCCGCAGAGTTACTCTGTGCGACTATTAGAAATCTAATCCTTCCCTTGTCAACTCAGCTAGTAAGGATTTCCTGATTTTAACGGGAACACAGTAGGCTTTAAGGTGATTGCCGACTTGAACAGAAAGATACCTTACGCGTCATTCATGTCAAGACCCGTCTAATACCTCGAAATAAAAGGGTAGAAAATCAAGGTAGCCTCCTGTCACTTTTACAAGGAGTAATCACCGTACAGAACTGGGATTTCTTTTTATAAAGTGAGTAAATCTTCCCCGAGGGGAGAGAAATATTGGACAGATTTGAGAAACACACAAAGGGAAAAGACTATAATGCTTCCCTGCTACCACCAGGGTAGTGAAGTTACGAGAATTAGCAGAATTCCCGGGTTCCTTCCACAAAAGCAATAACCTGGCAGCTCGCGTCCCCGCCCCCGCCCCCGCCCCGGTTACCTGTGGAAGCTGACGTTAATGTGCTTGTTGTAGGTAGCAGCACAGCCCGCCGCGGCGCAATTGGTCGGCATCTCCCTTTCCCCCTCATTCGGCGCTGTCGTGAGCCCGGTCTGAGGCGCCGTCTGCTACGCTTCCCTCGGGCGGGATGGACAAGTGAGGCGGGGAGAGGCCCACCCAGCGGAGTCGTGGGAGCGGGGTGGGAAGAAAGGGTGTGTTTGTGTGTGCGTCGGGTGGCGGGGGTCGACCTTCCCTTTCTCTTTATTAATATGGCGGACTTGAGACAGCCGAGCCCTCGGTCCCGCAGCTCCAGTCGCCTTCTTTTGCCTTCACCAACATGGCGGGCACAACCCTACTCTCTCCCTGGCCCCCCAAAAGGTAGCGGGACTACTGCGTCTCTTTAACAGCCGTCCTCGGACCAATTAAAAAAGAAGAGGTATTACCCACCGTCCCGCCCCCCATCTCTACGATACTGTCTCCGGGCCGAGATTAAGAACAGGCCCGCCCGTTTCAACACGCACCCAGATATTCCAATCCAGAGTCTAAGGTGGGTGTGAGTTGTCGGCTAGAAGGACAAACCCTAAGACAGGGAAGAAAAACTGCAAATCCCACTGAGAATCGCGCGGTCTTAATAATTATCGCGGGAACTGAGAGCCTTGTTTCCGGTGTGCCGCAGGAAGTGACGTCGCGGGCAGAGCCACTTTCAGGAGCCCTTTTCTCGCGAGGCGGAAGAAACCCGCTCGCGGAGGAGCAAGGGGGCGCTAGGGTAGGGAACTGGGTTGCGACAGTCCGGCGAGAAAGAGCTTGGGTGCCGGGAAGTTGGGGAGCAGAACCCGCTAGGTGTCCGAGTAGGGTAAGGCCGCACCAACCGGGTCCGTTAGAAGAGAAGGGACCGAGGAGGAAGCTAATTGTCGGGCGGTTCCCCGGACGGAGGGCTAAGGTTGTGTGGAAGGCGCTGCCCCCGGGATGGCGACCGCAGATACTCCGGCCCCAGCCTCCAGTGGCCTCTCACCCAAGGAAGAAGGGGAGCTAGAAGATGGGGAGATCAGCGATGACGATAATAGCCAGATACGGAGCCGGAGCAGCAGCAGCAGCAGCGGCTGCGGGCTGTTACCGTATCCACGACGAAGGCCTCCTCACCCGGCCCGGGGCGGTGGATCCGGCGGAGGCGGTGGCTCGTCGTCGTCGTCGTCCTCTTCTCAGCAGCAGCTGAGGAATTTCTCACGCTCGCGGCACGCGTCGGAGCGGGGCCACCTCAGGGGACACAACAGCTACCGACCCAAAGAGCCGTTCCGATCTCACCAGCCCTCCGTGCGGATGCCTTCGAGCTCGCTGTCCGAAAGCAACCCCCGACCGTCCTTCTGGGAACGGAGCCACATCGCCTTGGACCGTTTCCGCTTTCGAGGCAGGCCTTACCGGGGTGGGAGTCGCTGGAGTCGGGGTCGTGGAGGGGGTGACCGAGGAGGCAAGCCGGGGGGCAGACCACCTCTGGGGGGAGGACCGGGATCCGGATTCAACGGCAGTCAGAGCTGGCGTGAGCCCTCCCCACCTCGGAAGAGTTGTATCCTTAACGTGGCGGTCGGCCCTGGGTGTGTCACTAAAGTTTCCCTTTAGCGTCATTACTAGGTCTTTGAGATGAGTAACTTCTCTGAACCGTCAGAGCCGCTAATTTGTTACTTAAAGTAAGTTTTTTGGTAATAATCCCATGTGTCACACTGTAGTGTTTTTAAAGATTGTTTTATTGGGTATATTGTTTTTTAACATTACCGTGTCATGGTTTGGGGCCAAGCTAGTGGAATCTAAGACTAAAATCAGATTTGTAATAGTACATCAGAAGCCCACGTTTCATTAGCATTTGTTTTTGCTGGTACAGGAACGTTATATGTGAGGTCAACTTGGATTGTTAGAGGGGGCAAAATACATAGTTACAAACAATTTGGGGAATAGTGTTCTTTTATCATATTACACTTTGATACTGTAAATTACGAAATTTCATTCTGCCTAATCCTACCGTTTCTGTTTATGATTCTGTTTTTACCTTTCTTGATTTATTCTTAGATATTGGTGTCTTTTAAAGTGGGGGAGGGAAAAAGACCATTGTTGGTATTACCTTCAGCAACTCTGTTAATTGAGAGGTTTTAAATTCATATAACTTCTTGGAAAACTTTACCTTCTTAAATTGTGTATTAGTTCACTTTTTTGACATTTTATAATTCTTAGTGCTGACAGATGTGGGTCAGAAAGAGAAGGATAAACTTAACAGCATTTTAATTTTAACAAATTGGAAGCCACGAGGATGTATGGGAAGGTGGAGATTGTGGCGAGGTTAAGAAGGAAAATAGCAAAATATCTGATTTTTGTTCCCTCTAACCTTATTAGTTATCTTTAGTATTCCTGAGTTTACTCAGGACTTAAACTGAAAAATTAGTCATCTGACGTTTTGCTGTTTTGTGATGGGTTGGTAGAACTATGCCTTGACTTATTCCATGATAACTACATAAAAGTGGTTTACTAAGCACTTTTATTACTGGTTGCAATTTCCATGGTTTAATGATTTTTTAATGTAGTTATTATATATGAAACTTACATATAATGACATTTGTTTGGAAGACACTCAACATCATTTTTATAGTTTACTTAGAACCATATGGTCTTTTTCATATGTCATGATATAAAGGGGGCAAGAAATGTAGGTTTAGGTAAGAAGTAGCAGCTTCTGGTGCTAGTGGCGTGTAAAAACTTATTTCTGCAACCAAAAGTTGGGTTAGGAACATTCCAGGAATATGTCAGAGAAAATCATTAGGTATTTAACTTTTGAAGTTGGAAAATCTCTGTCTAAGATATTTATTAACCAAGGATTTGTTCATTGTCAATTCTGAATCTAAAAACAGAAAGGTATTTAAGCACATGTATGTATATTTTTTAAGAAAAGATGAAACTTGTAATTTGTATTGGAGAGACAGACTTAAATAAATAATTAGTTTAATTTAAAATGTTCAAATTGAAGTATGTAAAAAGTATTATGGGAGCTCAAAGTTTATTCTTATGTTATTCTATATTAGAGAAGAGGGTGACGAATGGTTCGCCTACCTCCTTCCTTTACCTTCCTTCTGTCCATTTAATATCAATTTGGACTGTCATATACCTTTATTAATTGCTAAGTTCATACCTTTTTATTAATAAATGGATATGAAGTTGTGGGGAAAAAGTACAGGAGGATAACCAGTCTGATTTCTGTAGTAACTTATCAGAAATAAGCTGTCTTGATGTTTTCCTTTTCACAGATGCCGCATTTAAGAAAAGGATGCTTGTTTTGATCCTCTGCTCATTGTTTTTCTCGTGAAGTATCACTAATCTGTCCTAGAGGTGGTATTCTTTTAAGATTTTGTAAAGGAAAACATAGTTCTCAGGCACTTTTGTATATTGTGAGCAAACAAAATTTGTAATACGAAATTTTATAAATTCAAATTTATTTCTTTTTTAAAAAACTTTATTGTTTAAAGTATTACACATGTCCTCCTTTCCCCCCAGTGACCCCCCCTTCACCCTCTCATCCCCCCAATTCAGATTTCTTTAAGACCAAGATTGAACTGAGTTTAATTCATATTTCCATTGTTGATTATAATAATGACATTTTTATTTTATAAATGTTACATTAAGAAAGAATAAGAGTTTTTCTGTGGCTCATTTCCATAATCCAGAAGTAAAGCAGCATAAGTACAGGTGGTTGGTGTTTTTTTTTAACTCCTTTCTCTATAATGATTAAGGTATGCTAAATGTAGCTTAAAAGAAATAGAATAAGCCAAATCCTATTGCTTTTCTTTTTTTAAAAAAAATATATATTTTTATTAATTTTAGAGAGAGAGGAAGGGAAAGGAGGAGAGAGAAGGAATCATTGATGTGAGATATGAGAGAGTCATTGATCAGCTGCTTCTTGCATGCCCCTTACTGGGGATAGAGCCTGCAACCTGGGCCTGTCCCCTGACTGGGAATTGAACCCATGACCTCTTGGTGCATGGAACGATGCCCAACCAACTGAGCCACACCAGCCAGTACCAGTACTTATTTTCATTTTCATTCTTTTTTTTTTTTTTTTAAATTGATTTGAGAGGAAGGTGGGGAGAGAGAGAAACAGTGATGTGCTTGGAATCGAACCCACCACCTTCCTGGCCTACGGGATGCTCCAGTCAACTGAGCCACGCCAACCAGGGCATTCTCATTTTTAATTTTTCTTAGTGTACACACTTAGTCTTAGCATATGTCTCCTTTGGATGACTACTGTTTTAAACTTTCAAATCTGATGAGAGCTAAAATACTAGGTCAGTGTTTCTCATCAGTAGAAAGTCATTCTATTTTCACCTGCAGTTGTAAAGGTTGACAGTTCTTTTTTTAAACCAGATTTCAGCTAGAAATTGCATCCTGACCAGCTTAAAATGAAATCCTTTAAGTGTTTGCTTTTAGTTGTCCTTTATAGACAGAAGTAGATTTCAGTCCTGCTGGGTAGCTTAGTTGGTTAGAGTGTTGTCTTGCTATGCCAGGGTTGTGGGTTCGATCCCCAGTCAGGGCACATAGAAGAGTCAACCAATAAATACGTAAATAAGTGGAACAACAAATTGGTGTTTTTTCCCTCTCTTTTTCCCCCGAACCCCTCGCCTCTCTAAAATCAATAAAATTAAAAATTAAAAAAAATAAGATTTCATTTAGCCTTGAAGATTAGTCAGTCAAAGTTATAACTCAGTGACTTTACCTCATTTTTCTGTCCTTTAGTTATTTTATTTCTTAAGAGTATTGAATCTTTTCCTTTTACAAATGTTTCCAAGGTTATGTTATTTTTAAAAAATTACTAGTGTCATGCCTTTATTTATTTACTTGTTTAATATGTTTTTATTGATTTCAGAGAGAGGAAGGGACAGGGAGAGATAGAAACATCAGTGATGACAGAGAGTTATCAATCGGCTACCCCCTACACCCCCCCTACTGGGGTTCAAGCCCACAACCCAGGCATGTGCCCTGACCAGGAATCAAACCCTGAACTCCTGGTTCATGGGTCAATGGTCAACCACTGAGCAACACTGGCCAGACAGAGTTGTGCCT